GCAAAGTGAATGCAAAGTGGGTGTAAGCTGGTACTAAATCAGAACGATGGAAATAACTGCAGAAAGAGCAGGCTAAGCCTGTCTACACTGTCCCATGGTGAGGACTACAGGATGTTAACTGCAAAGAGCACCAAACAGTTGGGCTCTCACTGCTCTGTGTGGACACTGCTGGCATGAACTAAAAGGTATCTAGTTCACATTAACATAGTCCTCTCTGAAACAGGACTATAGTCACATTCCCACAGTCTGCACTGTGAAGTGCAGACAAGCCCTAACAGAGACTCAGGCCTTGTAACTGAGGACATTATAGATACACTGCAAAATGGATTCCCCTTTCCAATTTACTTTCAGTGTATTGACCCATATCATTTGATCAACATTGGGGACTTCTACTGTACTCCTTTGCCAAACAGCATTGTAACAGAGTATCTTGATCAGACATTCATTGATTATCTCAGCAATAAAGCTGACATTAAATGCCAAAGGGGCATGTAAAGGACTATAATAAGAAATTGCTTTTTCTAAAAGGTATCCTTGGCTTTGTCTGGCATATGACCTAAGACCCACACATTCAGTTGTGAAGGTATCACTAATGATGTGCTAGTTCTCAAGGACGTATCAGAGTGCTGCAGCTAACACCCGATAACACTGCTCACTCCAGTGCTGACACACTTTGGCTGCTGAGTGCAAAAATCTCCCCTGAAAGAGACCCTAAGCAAAAAGCAAGGAGCTGCGTTTACTCACAGGACTGTGCAGCAGGTAACATAAAAATCCAACCTCATCCAGGCTGCTCTTTTCCAGAAGACTAAACAGTATGATTGCTGCATTGTTCAACCTGTTTTCCTGTTTATTATTGGCCACCTCTTTTCTCTTCTCTTATAAATTCAACTTTCTTTTAGTTTGTTTTCAGCTTTCTTTCTTTTTAAAGTTTTCACACTTCTGTAGGCATCTTCCCTGCAAGGTGGAGGAATCTCGCTACCCACTTGCACAAGCAAGCAGCATTCTCTTCTTGTCTGATGATGATTTTAATAATTGGAAGATCGGAGGCATAGAATCTATGATTCCCTGCATCTTGTGCAGTTATTTACACCAGTGTGAAGCATACTTGCTTTGCACTAACTTTGCACTGTTGTGAATTACTGTATAAGGTGAAGAGCAACAAAGAACTGGCCAGCACTGGCCTGACTTGTTGGTTGTAGGATTGACCCCTGTCAAATGTAATAGTTACTTTGATGTGGCCCTTAAAATAGTTTGGTTTTAGAGCAGCTTCTCTCTCAATGAAACATATCCTGCTAATTGTTTTCCTGTATTACTCTAAAAAGTATGAGTCTTTAATAGTGATTTCAGGGAAAAAATGAGCCTGTTTTGACTTTCCTCTTTGGCTAGTTGAGTGATCTGTCAGGTTTCCTGTCATCCACGAAGAGTCTCTCTCTCTATTGTGAACAAATTTATGGAAATATATTTGTATGTAAAACAAAATGAGATACTTAGCTCTCCAGCCTCCTAGGCAAGGTGTTTGTGGCATCATAATCCCCATTAGCCAGTGTTGTACCTCTTAAAATGGCATCAATGCTCTTGACTCAAATTATCCACATTTTACATATTGACAGGAATGTTTTCTCACTAGAATGAAGTTAAAGCAAAACCATTATATATAATAAACTATGGCTATAGAAATGATCATTACTCAGAGATTGTCCTATTCTTGAACTTTATATAGGCAAGCTAAACATACACATTTAATGTAATGTAAATCTCACAGTTGACCATGAATATAAAACATTAATTTGACACAGAACTACTGGGTGTACATACTTTTGGAGCCAATGTAAATACATCCCCACTTTTGTTTCAGCTCTGTTTGCATGAGGTGGTGGGCTTCTGAGGACAGAAAGCAGTTTATTGTTTGCAGAGTAAAATAGATGGCTAACATCTGGTACTAAGTCAGGGAGACTAATACACTGCACTCTCTCTTTGTTCAGCTGGCCTTGTGCTTAAACTGCCTGCTGTAGTAAGGATGTTTGTAGTTGTTTTATCTGTAGATAGAAGTCAGGACAGTAATCTTGTGACTTGAAGAATTCGAAGAGAGAACCTAGAACTGTGAATTTACTTTACAAAATTAGTAACAATATAATTCCTAACCCTGCTTGTCATAGAAGACTCTCTTAAAAGTTCATAAAGTGTTCTCTCTCTAGTACCTCATTCTTTAGTCATAGCTTCATGTTTTAAGGCCTGAAGGGACCAGTAGATCATCTAGTCTGATCTCCTGTATATCACAGGCCATTACATTTCACTTTGTTACCCCTGTATTGAGCCCAATAACTTTTGTTAGGGGTTAGCCAATCTTCAGAAAGGCACCCGGTCTTGATCTAAGGACATCAAGGAAGGGAGAATCCACCGCTTCCCTTGCTAGTTTGTTCCAATGGTTAATCACCCTCATAGCCAATAATGTGTGCCTTATTTCCAGCTGGAATTTGTCTGGCTTCAGCTTCCAGCCATTGGTTCTTTGTAATGACTTTCTCCACTAGATTAAAGAGTCTTTTAGTACCTAGTTCCAGAGTAGCAGCCGTGTTAGTCTGTATTCGCAAAAAGAAAAGGAGTCCTTGTGGCACCTTAGAGACTAACAAATTTATGCATTCGATGAAGTGAGCTGTAGCTCACAAAAGCTTATGCTCAGATAAAATTGTTAGTCTCTACGGTGCCACAAGTACTCCTTTTCTTTTTAGTACCTAGTATTTTCTCCCTATGAGAGTCCTTATACACTGTAATCAAGTGACTTCTTGCTCTTCTTTTGATAAACTAAACAAATTGAGCTCTGTAAGTATCTCACTAAGATACTTTTCATTTTCTTCCATCCTGAAATAATTTTTGTGGCTCTTTTCTGCACCCTCTCCAATTTTTCAACATCCTTTTTGAAATGTGGACACCAGAACTGTACACAGCATTCCAGCATCTGTCTCTGCAATGCCATATACAGAGGTAAAATAACCTCCGTACTCACTGCACCCCTGTTTATACATCCAAGGATTGCACTGGCCCTTGTTGACACAGTGTTGTCCTGGGAGCTCATGTTGAGTTGTTTTTTTACTGTGACCCCTAAATTCTTTTCAGAGCCACTGCATTCCAGGATACAGTCCCTCATTCTATAGGTCCGGACTTCATTCCTTGCTCCTAGATGTATAACTTTGCATTTGGCTGTATTTGCTGTGTATGACCTCCCCGTCATCCTCATTACTCGCCACTTTGCCAATCTTTGTGTTATCTGCAGTGTTATCAGCAGTAGTTTTTATATTTACTTCTAGATCACCAATGAAAATGTTGAATAGCATTAGACCTAGAACCAGTCCTTGTAGAACCCCGCGAGAAACACCTCTATTTGATTATGCTTCCCCATTGATGACTACTGTTTGAGATCTGTCAGTTAGACTGTTCTTGATCCATTTAAGATGTGCTGTATGGATACTGTATAGTGCTGTTTTTTAATCTGAATGGTGTGTGATGCTAAATGAAATGCCTTACAGAAGTCTAAGTATATCTACTCAGATACTTTTATCAACTAAGCTTGTAATCTCCTCAAAGAATGAATTCAATTTTGTTTGCTAAGACCTAATTTTCCATGTTGACTGACATTAATTGTATTCCTATCCTTTAATTCTTTACATTAAGGTATTTCAGATAAGGGAGGGGTTGGCAAACTGGTTTGCACAAAACTCAATATTCTCTGATCCAAACTAAACCTTTTTTGTGCTTGAGGTTCACTCTTGCTATCTTTCTCATTTTTATGCACTTTTGTACCTCAAAAGTAGCTGAATTATAACAATGCTGTCTGAGATTTCCGGAATGTTCTTGTTTCGGCTGAGCTCAGCCAAAACAAGAAGTTCTGGAAATCTGAGACAGCACTGATAAAATTCATTTATTTTTGGGAGTTGAAGGTGGCAACCAACTGCACAACCATGAGCGGAACAGGTGAAGGAAATTGTAGCTAATGACACTGGGGAAAAACACCTACTCTTACCATGACATTTTTTTGTATCTTTAATGTTCACCTAGAACAAATAGAATTTTAGTTTTTAAGTTCTCTGCGCATTAATTGCATGGTACTTAATGTATCCACTTGGGAAGTATGAAAGACTGAGTTGACCAGACTCCGCTTTGAACATGTGGGTCCAAGGAATCTTGGTGTTTCATTCTGGCTCTTAGCTCCAGAACCAGATTTCATTGATTATTATCATGTATTACTTGTCCACCTTTATGACAAAAATGAAAGTATTGATAAAGAATCCGTGTCATTTCCCAAATAGTGGGTAGTTTTTTGTATATTTAAGTAAGGCTATATACACTATGAGCTAGGGGTGTGATTCCCTTGCTCGTGTGCGCATACTCATCCAGCTCTCATCGAGCTAGTGCGAGTATAAATAGCAGCATACCTGCGGGAGCACAGATAGTGGCAGCAAAGGTACAGTGAGTTGTGCCAAGTAAATACTCACTGGTTTCAGGTGGGTATTTACTTGGCACAGTTCAGCCATTCTTCTGCTGCTACTACGCATGCTACTGCAGCGACACTGTGTTCACGAGAAGGGGAAATACACCCCAAGCTCGTAGCATCGACGTAGCCTAATTGTGTTAATTTAGGACAGATTGTGCTGTCCATTATACCAGAGTTAATCCAGAACAAGTCCACTGAAATCAGTGCCATTACTCTGTGTTGTATGCTGGTGTATCTCAAATCCGAAGCGATTCCCAAAATATAAAATATCATGGTAGGGCTATTGAGTAGTCCTTTTCAGTACTCTTGACTCTTTCAAGCCAGATAGGGTTTTGCCTGAATAAGGAGCAAATAAAGACCTCTAAATCAGCACTGCTCTTTTTAAGGCACATTTCAAAATGGCACAGAAATGATGAATACACAAATCCACAATGAAGTAACCAACTGGGCATGAAAAGTAAGTGCCTAGCTATGAAGACCTACTGTTCTTGACTTTGCTTTTGCTATCTTACAGAGCTCAGCTTCTCCACCAGGATCAGTGTCCTGCCAACTTCCAGCTCATCATCCAAGTAAACACATGAAGGCCCAAGAAGAAAGTGAGCAAATATTTCCTAAGGTAGGTGAGAAAACCCTGGCCGTTGTTGCATCCTTTCAGTTGAATTTCTCAGCTTGCTAGTTAGTTCGTCAAGCCAAGGTGGAGTGTTGGGGATAAAGCGTTGGGGATAAAGGCCAATTCCTCCCCGACAGGAGTTCATTAGCTTCAGTGGAGTCACACGAGGGATAAATTGTGGCCCTTTGTGCTCATAGGTCAGCAGGTTGCTTTGTTTTCTCTGGAGCTGTGACTTTTGCTGTAAAAAGGAACATACACTGCAGTTCAGTATATCTCCAGCCTCTCTCCCTCCTGCCCCAGAACTGGCAATTGTTTTTCTTATGCTTTTTATTCTTACTGAATCATCACCAGAAATTCACCATTTTAGGTGTTTGTTCGTTTTTTCAATTCAGATGTCTCCAAACCATTTAAGTCAAGTTTTATGACTTCACCTGCACATTATTTGTATGTACATAAAATGCAAAGGAGGAAGTCCAGCCCTGTCCAGAGGGAAAGCCTAAGGCCTATTTATCACTTAACCTCATTGGTGCATAGCCTTTGTGCAAGCTCTAGCATAGGGATGGGCTTCATTCAAGGATGGTGCTTCCCTGTTCCTCCAAACCCTCAAGTTACATTTTCCAGTTCTAATGACATCTGATTAAATATATGGTATGTCGCATGTTAGGTGCTCTAAAAGGAGAGACACATAAATTAGATCCAAAAAGGCAGGTGTACCAATTATTTCTGCCTATGGAGAGAAGTAGTGCTTAGTTTGTTCAGTCCTGCATTATACATTATTTTCCAGTAAACAGATGTTTGGATGAGACTGTGTCTGAAATTCATCTTTTCTTTCCATCCTCTCAGCCAAATTTCTCGTTATGTCTCACCTTGAGTTCTGCAACACCGTCCTCTCTGGTCCCCCAGATAACACGCATTTTCTTTCTTCAGTCCATACAAAATACAGCTGCTAAAATCTCCCTTGTGTGTTGATTTGATCATGTCACTACCATCTTGGGAAAAATTCCTCCACTGGTTCCTCATCTGCTGTCACATCAGATTTAAGTGATTTTTGTCACCATCTTCAAAGCTCTACATAACTTTTCTCCTCTTTATGTATCCTTCATTGTTGGACTTTGGATTACCTTGCTCTGCCAGTGTTCTCACCCATTTGTTAGCTTCTCCCACAAATGCCTTTTTGCCTTTGTCCATGTGGCATTGTACAACTTCCCTGAATTCATCCACAGAGCCCTGTCCACAGTTTTGGAGAGATTTAAAATTCCACTCCTGCTGCAGTGGGTTACAGTGAATCACGTTGACTTGTGTGAAAATCCCTGTTTGGGCCCATTCCCTTTGTCACCCTGTCTGTCCATCCTTAGATTGTGATCTTGGAACAGTGACATTCCCTTCTTGAACGTCTGGAAAATGATTAGCATTACCATAAACAGTGAATAAATACTACTCATAATAATCAGTGGCTGTCCAATAGATCCGTTTTTAAAAAATAGTATGTGATGTGTACAAAATGCAAACAACATTACAGTTTGGACTTTGCCTTTATGAAAAGGCAAAATCAAGCCACATTTCACAAGTGATGACAGCAGAATGGGAGCTGAAGCTCCAAAGAGGAAATCTATCTTGTCGCTTTTATTTTTCACGTATTTAACTACACTCTTATGTAGAGGATCAGCATCATTCAGGCTGACAGTGAGAAAACAGGGTGGAGAATCATGAGCATGGAGTAAGATCTAATTTTCTCAGTGTGTCTGAAAAGTCCTTGCTTTTTGGGTCTATCTGTACTGCAAAAGCAAAACAAAAAACCTGCAGAAGTGAGTCTCAGAGCCCATAACAACTGACTCATGCTTACACTACAGACTAAAAACAGCTGTGTAAATGTTCCTGCTCGGGCCAAAACTGGGGCTCTGAGGCCCTCCCCACGCGCCAGATTTCAGAGCCCGCGCTCCAGCTTGAACCCAAACATCTACACTGCTGTTTTTAGCCCAATAGTGAGACTCATGAGCCTGATTCAGTTGACATGGGCTCTGAGCTTCGCTGCTGCAGGATATGAGTTGGGTTTTTTGACACATAGGTGTACCCTTTGCCCACTGTTTTGTGGACTTGCGATTTAATTTCCACCTCCTATATTTTCCCTTTAAATTCTTCCACACATTTGTTTAATTCTGCCAATCAGTGCAACTAGGATTTCCAATTTAGTGTCCATTGATTTTACAGCGGCTGTCATATTACCAGTTTTATGTCTGGAGCTTCCTTATTATTCTTAGCCCATTCCCTTGGCCAGAGGTGACTTAAAAATGGAGGAAGAATGGGAAATCATGAACACTTCTAAAGTGTTTTCATTCCATTGGTTTTCAAAATGGACTGATTTAAAAAAAAATCCATAGAATTGAATAGTTTTTTTTAGATTTGAAATTGGAATGTTCTAAAGCAATTTTTAAAATTTCAAAATAAAAATATTTCCAAAACAAAAAGTGTTGATTTTTTTTTATCTCACTGAGTAACTACTTCGATCAGTCAAAGCTGGCAATGAAAAAAGAGAGAAAAAGAAAAGAAGAAAGGAAAAAAAACTTTTCTGTTTGAAAATTTTGAAAACAGAACATTTTGAGAAAATCTTTTTTGCAAGGTTTCTGTTTTTGAGACTTGTCAACTGACTCTTTTCTTTTTCCCCCTTAAAAACAAGTGTTTGAAGAAAAAACGTTGAGCAGCTGTGTTGACTGATTGACACCTTCGTTCTGACTGAGCAAAGATGACCACGGAGACTTTCAGTCTGAAGGCTCTTGCTCTGAAAACCAGATTTTTCTCCACAATTGATTTTTTCCCCTCTAGTCTGTGGAATGAGTTCATTTTTATGGACAGGATTTGTGGGTTTTTTTTTTATTTGGGAGTGGGGGGAGGTTGAAGTGTTGTGAAGTTTCACTTTTACTCTTGCAATTCTACATGCAGAGCCACTCCCAGCCTCGCATCAGATTCCTTGGAACAGAAAGCATCTAAAGTGTTTTTCTTTGTAGTCTGATGGTGTTTGGAGACAAGAAATCTTATGAGGAATCAGATAAGATTATTTTTTCTACTATTTTGCAGAGATTCTTCCCTCTGTCATGATGTGTCCCACACTATTGCCAACCCCAAGCATTACAAAATCATGAAATGTTTAAATATATATATAATAAATATATGCTATTTAATATTGCTATTGATTTTATATTGAAGGCATTCAGATACTGTGGTGATGCATGGTAAACTCCTGAGATGCTCCCATGCTTAAATGAGCTTAAACTCACTGAGACCTCAGGAGTTTGGGGCTCTGGAGAACCTGATGTGGCAAACCAGTTCTGCCCTTTGTGTCTGTGCTACGTGAGCGCAGGGTTGGAACTTTTGTTAGCCAACCTATTTTATAATAGAATGAGAATAAATGCCTTAAGTGTTGGAAAAATGCCAAGGAATTGACAGAAATCAAATCTGATATTCAGTTACAAAGATACTTTTATTAAATCTGAATATACTCCCTATGAAAGAGTCCTACAGAGTTTAATAGTGATGAAATCAATACGATTCTTTAGAAAGTACTCTGAAAAACCACAGAATTTGAGAAATGAGATCCTTTCCATAAAATCAGCTTATAGAATTGAATAGAGAATTATATGCCCCTATAGAATTCTACAGGCTTGTTTAAGAATTCTGTAGAACAGTTTTCATTTTCTGTTTGTCTCTGTTACGACACTTATGTGTCCCCCCATTCACATACTATGTGAGCACCTCAAAATCTTTAATGCCTCTGTCCTTACAACACCCATTGGATTGGGAAGTTCTGTTACGCCCATTTTACAGATGAGACACTGAAGCACAGAAAGACTAAGTGACCTGCCCAAGGTCACACAGGAAGTCTGTGGTGGAGCAGGGAACTGAACTCAGCGCTCCTGTGGCCTATACTAATGCCCTAACCATTGGACTATCCTTTGTCTCCCCTTCAGTTATTATTTTTACTGTGGTAGCATCCAGGCTTCACTAGTTGCTATCCAAACTCAGAAGAACAAAGTCCCTGCCCCAAAGAGCTTACGCTGTAGCACTTTTAAAACAAGTGTTTGGGAAAACATTTTTGACATGACCAAAAGAAGCCAGTTGTTGTAACCAGGTGGCTGGTGTGTATGGAACAAAGTTTACTGCCACTTGCTGGGTTTAAAAGTAGATTTTGTTTCTCACACTTTGCTGTTAAAATTTAGCCACTCAGACAGAAAAGGGGGATCATTATAGACTGCTGCAGAATGGGTAAATAAAGCTGAGTCTGGTGGTCAAGGGGACTGGCAAAGGCAATTACTCATGTGAGCACATTTTACTCTTCTGGTAGCTGAGAAACCAGTTTGGGATATTTCTCAGCAAGAATATATAAAGCCAACATTTTCTTCACTGTGTTCTCTCTTCTCCCTGTTCTTCCACCCCATACTGCAACGCCCAAAATAAATTCCATTCCTGACCTATTTCAGAGTAACAGCCGTGTTAGTCTGTATTCGCAAAAAGAAAAGGAGTACTTGTGGCACCTTAGAGACTAACCAATTTATTTGAGCATAAGCTTTCGTGAGCTACAGCTCACGAAAGCTTATGCTCAAATAAATTGGTTAGTCTCTAAGGTGCCACAAGTACTCCTTTTCTTTATTCCTGACCTAGGCAGTTTTTGCTTGTTAGTTTACACACAAGCCCATCTCTGTGGAGTCTTGGGAAGAACAAGATTTACTATAGAACCAGGCAGGAGGACTGAATGACGGTCCACACATAGCTGGCAGAACAGAGGGATGTGTCCTTATATGAACAAAGATGAATAGCTTAGTTTTCTTTTTCTCCTTTACATTTCTGTTGTGAGAAGTTAAATATGGCCAGTTTGAAATGCTTAGTTATTGTAAGCCTCATGCCAGCTAGGAAATATAACTGGTGTTAACGCCTGCTTTCAGCAATAGGTGCAGCTGAACTGGTGCTGTAAATGGTTTTAATGCAAGTGTAGACAGGACCAAACTGTGTTTAGT